GCTGATACTTTTGTAAGAGAAATCCGTTTCTGAAAAGAAGAAATAGAATAGAAAAGCAGATCACAAGATGAAGCTTTTGAAGTGGTTTGGAAGAACCAGACTGTGGAGTCTGGTAAGCCCTATTAGGATTTTGGGCTTTTTCCTTTAATATAGTTGCAAAATAGAAATGATGTTTGCTTTTGCGTGTATGTATGTATTTATGTTTGATAGCTGTTCTAACTGCACATAGAAAATGAGATTGTAGGTTGCCAAGTACATAAGTACCTTGTAAATGCTGCTCATTAACTTTTGAACCAATGACTTTACCACTTACAAACTGTAATCTCTGTGGCAGGTGGGCTTTCATTCTGAAAGCTAAGTACTATTTTTTTTTTTTTGTAAACAAGAAATATATTCATTCTGAATTCTTTTTAAAAAGTAAGGAACACAAACTTCTTAGTGTCTGTAGATTTGACTTTTCAATTCATCCAATTACTAGCTTTTTGAAAAAATTTCTAAATTGCTAGAAGTTTTGGTTACCTTATCTCTAAAATTAACTGTTTTAAGGATGAGCTGAGGGAAGGCTTGTAAAGCACTTAGAATTTGCCTGGCACATATTTATCAAATCTTAGCTGTGTTTATTAGCTATTCTTTAAGAACTTCAGTTCTTAAAAAGAATAAATAAACAGAACATTACAAAGTAATAGGGATGCAGAACATAAATTTAGGCATTCTCTTAATAAGGACATCCTGATTGTTCAGGTGAGTAAACCATATCTTAGGAGAAGTAGTTTAATTAAGGTTCGTGACTAAATAAATAGTAGAGCTAGGGATAATTTCTGGTTCCAGAGCTCAGGCTCACCATCCTATGTGGTGTGGCCTCTTTTCTAAAACAGTATCTCTTTTGGAAGACTTTCTCTCCCATTTGATTGCAGTCAGAAACTGAAAGCCATCTTGCATTTTGGAAAGAAAAATACTTAAAGAGGGAGCTTGATCACCTTTGGTATTTGGTTAGTGGAACTAAAAAAATTTAAGTAGTAATACATTATTTTCTGACTTAAGTGATGATAAAACTTTTTCTTACTTGAAAACTTTTTTCTAGTTAATTTGTTGATCCATTAATTAATTGGTTACTATTGTATAGTTATAGAAGTAATGTTTTATCAGACTATATGTTTTCTAGTACATGTTATCTACCTCTAAAGGGGACTCCTGCAAGAATATCTAGCATGGGGATCCCTGGGTGGCACAGCGGTTTGGCGCCTGCCTTTGGCCCAGGGCGCGATCCTGGAGACCCGGGATCAAATCCCACGTCGGGCTCCCGGTGCATGGAGCCTGCTTCTCCCTCTGCCTGTGTCTCTGCCTCTCTCTCTCTCTCTCTCTCTCTGTGTGACTATCATAAATAAATTTAAAAAAAATTAAAAGAATATCTAGCATGGCTGCATTTGAACACTGTAGGTATAGTAAGGAGATAGTATGTGTATATCCTCATATGTGTGGAGTTGTCTTCTCTTGCGGGGGGTGGAGGAAGGGCATTAGAGAGAATGTGATTTGGGGTAGCAGTCTGCTTATAATATCAAAATAGTTGTGTTATATAACTGTCATCTTTGTAAAAATACTTCTTAGAATGGCAGTATAAATAAAGTAACTCACTTAACTCGATGTGATACTCATAAGAAAGAGGATAGGTGTTTGATGGTAACAGAAATTTTCATTGATTTTTTTTTAACTTCCAAATAGGATTTTTTTAAGGTAAAATAAATCTATGGGAAACTAGTAGTATCATGTTTTATTGTTTATCAGTTTTAAAAATCATTAATATTACATTTATGAAATTACATAATTTTTGCTATTTGACACAATATGAGACTTTTGTTTACTTAGAATGGTGGGAGATGAACTATATTCTCTTCACCTAATTTTTTAGTAATATTAATCAAAACTGAAGAAATCCACACCTGTTGTAACAAATTCAGTCAATGCTGAAGTGTAGAAACTAGATCTTCCTCTCTAATTCCAGTTCCAGAGTTTTTCTTCCACAATTTGTGTATACCCTAAGACTCTTTTATATGTGTGTGTGTATAATTTGCTTATATAAATATATGCATTTAACTATGCATATATCATTTTAACATTAAAATTAGATCACATTTCTAATCAGATCACATTTTAATGTTACTCTGAAACATATAACTTAATGTACATATCTTTCCAAGTTAGTACATAGAGAATCCATCCAGTTTATTGAATATTTTATTTTATTTTATTTTAAGATTTTATTTATTTATTCATGAGAGACACACAGAGAGAGATAGAGGCAGAGACACAGGCAGAGGGAGAAGCAGGCCCCATGCAGGGAGCCCGACGTGGGACTCGATTCCGGGTCTCCAGGATCACACCCCGGGCTGAAGGCGGCGCTAAACCGCTGAGCCACCAGGGCTGCCCTGAATATTTTATTATAAAGCTATATTAGTTTATTCATTTGAATGCTGATGTAGATTTAAATTGAATTCTTTGTTTTTCTATTTTAGAGAATTTTACTAAGCATTATAAGATAGGTAGTCTCCATTTTAGAGATGAAGTTAAGACATAAAGAGGTCAGGTAACTTGACCTAAATTAAATTACATAGCAAGTAAGTGGTAAAGCTAATATTAAAATTCTGCCAATCCAGTCCAGAGTCCAGTCGTAAATACTACGTTATGTTACTCTTTTCCTTCTGCCTATCCTTAGTCTATGTACTGAAATTTTTTAAAAATCAATATATGAAATATATTCAATATTAAAACTTTCCTGAGGATAATTTAATATGCAACCTTAAGGATATTGGAAACGTTAGGGTCACAGATTACGCAGCTATAATTTGTGGTTGTATTTAACATACAAGTAGAAGGTTTAAGCCAATGCTACTCAAATGTTAATGTGCATACAAATCTCTGGGAATAGGGGTGCATCTTGTTAAAATGTACATTCAGATTCAATAATCTGGGGTAGGGCCGGAAGTTGCATTTCTGATAAGTTCCTGATGATGCCAGTACTGCTGATCTGCTTGTTGAATAGCAAAACTTTTGGCAATTGATACTGCCCTTTGGCAAATCTTGTTAGTTGTTTTATTGAATCAGTTATTACATCATTTTATTTATGCCACCAATTTTTATAACTTATACGTGCTAAAGAAATAGGTGAGAGTTTCTAGTTTGAATTCTATGTATGTAGCATTTAACATTGCTGGGAAAAATAAATCGTGGCTTCTGTAGTATTAATGCACAATACTTAATTACCTGTAATCATATTTATTTATGTACTAGATACAGCTTACACATCTATGTCACCATTTCTACTGTGTCATTTTTAATGGAGGGGAAACATTTATTTTCACTTTGAAGGCCATCACTGTGGTTGAACTAAAAGGTTGTTTTATGGCTATTATTTTCTTCTTTAGTAATAACATATTTTACACAGTTATAAAAGTAAATACCTGTTCAGTGCTGTGTGCCACGTACTGTATCAAGTGCTTAATTGACATGACTTGACTTCATCATCATGACCTCCCTCATTTATTCGTTCATCAGCTCTTTGGGCACCTGCTCTGCTCTAGGAACAGTGCATGCAGTGGTGAGCCAAGTAAACACAGGTTCTGCCTTCCTAGAGCCGAGTGCACTGGGGGGTGCTGTATAGTCATCAAGCACTCATCAAGCACTCATGGTTGTAAAAGACAAGTTGTTACTTACTATGCTTGCTATTGTCTCTATTCTTTCAACAATCAGAAAGAATCTTCCCCTTAGCCCTCTAGAAGCTTCTCCCACCTAGCTTCCTCCCCTGCCCCACTGCAAGAATTCTTTCTCTACTAGCTGGATTCCTGAGCTGTTGTAATGCCAAATCCACCTAATGATTGGAGGGAGACTAAACTTTTTAAGTAAAGATGAGCAGTTTGTACAAGAAAAGCAAGAATACCTGAAGGGACACTGTTCACATTCATTGAAGGAGAATATCCTCAGCACTTTATTTTTTTTTTAATTTTTATTTATCTATGACAGTCAGAGAGAGAGAGAGAGAGAGAGAGAGAGGCAGAGACACAGGCAGAGGGAGAAGCAGGCTCCATGCACCGGGAGCCCGATGTGGGATTCGATCCCGGGTCTCCAGGATCGCGCCCTGGGCCAAAGGCAGGCGCCAAACCGCTGCGCCACCCAGGGGTCCCTCCTAAGCACTTTAAATGGTAGTTTCAAGTGACTCTTAGTAACTTATTTCAGTTATTTGCATGCTTCCATGTCCCCAATTTTGTGATAAGAGATAGAGGAACACTCTATCTCTTACAAAGGTGGGTACCAGAGTAGGGTACAATTCTGTCCCTCCTCTTAAGCCTGTTAAGAGTTGTGGTTGAGAAGAGGTAGAAAGTTTTAGAAGACAATGTAAGACATTATTACTTTTTTTATGTACCAACATGTACCATCCTTACGCAGTAACCACACTGTAGAATGATTGATGCATGGTCTTAGTAGAATGTTGTTTTTAAGAAGTATGTGATTCTAGGAGTCCCTAAATGGCTTAGTCAGTTCAGCATCTGACTTTTGATTTCGACTCAGGTCATGATGTCAGGGTTGTAAGATCGAGTCTTGCTTTGAGCTCTGTACTAGGTACAAAGTCTACTTGAGATTCTCTCTCCCTCTCCCTCTGCCCCATTTCCTGCTCACAGATGCTTTATCTCTCTAAAAAAAGTATTCTCTCTTTCCTAATAATAGTTCTGAATTCTCTTTTATACAGATTTTTTTCTGATATTAATCAGATGTATATATTTGATCTTCATATGTATCATGCTGCATTGTTGCAATTTCCAAAATGTTTTGTTATCCCTGCTACTACTATAATTTGCGGCTTCATTGTATTGTTTTGAAAGTTATTATAAGAGACTTTAGTTTCTGAATATTACAAAGTAGCACTATATAATTTTCTTTCAGAGGTAGAATCTGAAAAACTTTTATAAATTTTATCTTGGAAATTAGTTTATTATTATGTTTAATTTTAGGAAATGGTGCTCTTGCAGAACATTCTGAAAATGTGCATATTTCAGGAGTGTCAACTGGTAAGTCATTTTTTTGTAATGTTTAAATTTCATGCATGACTTATATGGTAAATATTGAAAGCCACCTGGTATCTTACAAAGTGATATTTGGCTATAAAAATTATTACTGCTTTTTGCAGCATGTAATAAGGAATGAAGTAACTGGAACATGGGGAAATTCTACTAAGATAAAATTGATACTTGCATGCCCATGGATTGATTATACTCTTCCAAACAGATGGCATAATTATTTTTTCATACAAACATTGAAGCAAAAAAAAAAAAAGTTATCTCAAGTTGAATTAGTATTTTCTTTCCTTACAAAGTTAAGTGAAATGAAATTTATTAAAATGTAATTTTAAATGCTATTTCTAGTACTAGAGCCTGAGAAATTAAGCATTTTGCTTGATTTTTTAATTTGAGTACTGCTATATATAAAATTGTTGTTATTGAGTGCACGATTTGTATGTTACTAAAAAGCAGTGCAACAACATATTTGTACCCATGAAATTCAGAAACTTGTTCAGATAAATGTGTTTTTTTCCCACTCAGAGGCTAAGACTGTATAACTTATTAATTATGTATAGACCTATAACTATTATAATTTTCATTCTTTTTTTTCTTTTGTTTTGTTTATAATTTTCATTCTTAATATGCCTTTCTCAGCTTTGTTTCCATTTTTGCTGTATCAACTGTAATTACTTAGAGGAGCAAAGTCTTTTATTTTTGCATATACTGAAATAGAGTTTCTTACCATTATATTATTATTTCCCTTTAGTCTTCGTAAGTTTTATGTGGTTAAAAAAATTACACTTTGTGTATTTATCAATGTACTGATTAATTTATTCATGTCATCTTGTACTTTGGTTATTTTTTCCACACACGAAGCAAAACAGTTTTCTCTTTTATTTTATACCTGATTTTATTTTATTTTTTTTAAAGATTTTTATTTATTTATTCATAGAGACAGAGAGAGAGAGAGGCAGAGACACAGGCAGAGGGAGAAGCAGGCATCGTACAGAGAGCCTAACGTTGGACTCGATCCAGGGTCTCCAGGATCACGCCCTGGGCTGCAGGCGGCGCTAAACCGCTGCGCCACCGGGGCTGCCCTATACCTGATTTTATATTCACTAAGTTAATAGACTTAAAACCTCTAAGAGTTAATTTGCAGAGCCAAACATATGGACAAGTATGGTTTTCTGAAAATGAAAGCAAGTGCCTTCGTAGTCAACTTAGACCCTTTCACAGTTTATGTCACAGTTCTCTTGTCCTCTAGTTGTGTGATTCTACACATCAAGCAAAAATAAGCTTATATGAAAGATAACCTTAATTTTCTCCCTTTTTCTATTTTGAATAGCTAATGAGGATTATGATTATGTTTCCAAGTCGTCACTATGAAGTAAGAAGATTGTATACAAACATTTGAACTTACACAATCAAATGACATTATCTAATTTAGGGATTTTCAAAAATTTTGGTCTTAGAAGGACCATGTAAATCTACTTGGACTTCCATAACAAAATACCATAGACTGAGTGGTATATATAACAGATATATTTATTTTCTCATAGTTTCAGAGGCCAGAAGTTCAAGACCAAAGTGCTAGAAAGGGGATCCCTGGGTGGCGCAGCAGTTTGGCGCCTGCCTTTGGCCCAGGGCACGATCCTGGAATCCCGGGATCGAATCCCACGTCAGGCTCCCTGTGCATGGAGCCTGCTTCTCCCTCTGCCTGTGTCTCTGCCTCTCTCTCTCTCTCTCTCTCTCTCTCTCAGTATGACTATCATAAATAAATTTAAAAAAAATTAAAAAAAAAAAAACAACAAAGTGCTAGAAGGATTGGTTTCTGGTGAGATCTCTCTTTCTAGCTTGCAAATGGCCCCCTTCTTTCTGTGTCCCCACATGGCCTTTCATCTGTATGCAGAGAGGTTCCTGGTGTCTTTTATTCTTCTTGGAAGGACCCTAGGTCCTATAGGATTGGATCCTACCCTTATGACCTCATTTAACTTCATTTACCTCCTTAAAGGTTCTGTTTCCTTTTTTTTTTTTCTATTTCCAAATACAGTAACATTGGACTTCAAAAACTGAGTTTGAAGGGACCCAATTTAGTCCATAATAGGGACTTCAAAGACATTTTTTTGTGTAGGTTATAGTTACTGATAATTACTGTATTTGAAATTAAAACTGGAAAATTGTTTTAAAATGCATTAATTTATTTGTAAATAACAGTAATGAATCTATTGCATAAAATAATTTTATAAAAAATGAACTTTCCAAAACAAAAACATCAAGAATGGCATTGTTTTATAATTTTGCAGTCTTTAAGGAACGGCTTAAGCTGGATTCTCATATCTGTTTCTGCATTCAGTCTTTTGTAATACGTTATTTTGTTTGACATATATGAAGACAATTCAGTTGCACATTGATGTGTAGGAAGTCGTCGACCCCAATTTTTTTTTTTTAATTTTCAGAAGATTTACTTGAGAGAGGGTGCAGTGGGGAAGGATGGAGGGAGAGGGGGAATCTGGAGCTGACTCCTCACATACCAGTCACCAGGTCTGGGTGAGGACCACAGTCAGCAGGTACAGGTGAGCCCCATGTGGGACCCAGAGCCACCAGGACCAGATGAGGCTCAGGTGGGGACCAAAAAGACCAGGTCCAGTTTGAGGCCCAGGTGGAGCCCAGAGGCACCAGGTCCAGGTGAGGAGCAGAGTGGCTCCTGCTCCTCACCTGGTCTCTTTTTTCCTCGGCTACTCTCTTTAACCGTGCTCAGTGCTCTTGTCCAGTCATTCTGTGCATTTTGGAAATTGTACTGACAATTTTAGAAATAATTTTCACTTGTCTACGGTTAGTGATTCCAGGTAGTTTATTGTGCAAATCAGTACACTTTCAAAGTGAAAGGGTACACTAGTTGTAATTGCTCTGGCACTACAGACAGAACCACGATGGTCCTGGACAATGTAGGATATACAGTCGCCATATCTGTAATGAATAATATTCACTTAGCAGGTATTAAGCACCTAACGTCCTTACGCCAAGAAGAGTGGGAGTAACTAATGAGTAAAATATCCTTGTCTCAAGGAACTTATTTAATGGAGGAAATAGGTATGTGTAAAATGTACCTCTAATGTCTCAATGTGGTAAACCATATGATGAATAATAAGCGTATTAGGTAAAACGATGAATTTATAAAAGGCCCATTTATATTATCTAGTGAGTAGTAAATGACAGAATTAATTTTTCTTATTTTATTATGAATAGCACCAAGTAATTAGTTTCTTCATATGAATTTTGAGAATTCATGTGAATTATGGGAATTATTTCTGATTGATAATATATTTTTGGTTCTTATGCTTGGGATAATTTGTTTCTATTTCTAATAATTCATTTTTGTCTTCCTCCTTCTCAGATCTTTGCCAAGAGAGTTCAGTCAGTCCTTTTGCTGGTTCTTACACTACAGGTTTTGGCATAAGAAAACATAAATTTTCAAAAAGTATATATTGAGTGGTGTATTTTTTATTTTTATTTTTTTTATACTGCGTGATTTTAAAATGGGGAAAAATTATTGGATAAAATTTTATTTTCTGTATGTTTTTTATTTAGAACTTTTCATTGTCCAGAATTTCAAATCTGCTTTCATATATATGATAAAGAGAAAAGATAAATGGTATTTTTATAAATCTAATAATATGTGAAAATCATGAAATTATATCCTACACACTGCCAAATAATTTAATTTTATATATTGAGAGAGTAGGAAGGCTATTTTAATATTCATTTTTAAAAATGTCTCATGTTCTTTAAATGTCTAAACTTTTAAAACCGCTAAGTTCCCGATCATCTGCTTCATAAAATGAGACCTTTTTTAGGTCAGACTGATTTATAACAAGACCTTTACATAAATTAAATCTATTTGATTTTTTTAAATTTATCTACTTTAAACTGAATTTTACTTTTTGATCTGTGATACTTATTTCAAACAGGGTAATTTTAGAAATAATTTCATAATGCCCTCTCTATTAATTACTTCCAAATCAAGATTTTTACTTGTTTTTCACAAATTTTATTGATTCATTATACAAGGTTCATTAAACATTTAGGAAACATGGAAAAAGGAGCAAAAAGATTAAGGAAGTCACCCATTAACTCTGCATTATTAGTATAATTAATAACAGTATTTAAATGTATTTGTCCTTTTTCTGTGCATATCTTAATTATATATGCATTTGCATTATAACTGATTTTGTCTTTTGCCCTTTCTATTTAACATTTTATAGACTACACTTTTTTCATACTCATTATTTTAATGCCTGTATAGTTTCCGTTCAGGGGCTATGTTGTGGTGTTCTTAAACATATCAATGGATTGTTTCCAATGGATTCTCCCTACTGGGTCATGTTACAAGGGACATAGTAATATATATCTAGCCCTTTTTTTTTATTCTGAGACTGTTTTTTAGCATAGATTTCTAGAAGTGGAAATTACTCTATCAAATCAAAGATCATAAATAATTTAACTTAGAAACCTTTTGAGAGATTGCTTTTCAAAAAGGATTGTACCAATTTGTACAACTATCTGCAGTGAATGAGGACACTTACCTTGGGTATGATCATGTTTTTTTTTTCATTTAACTTTTCTATGTTTCTATTGAAGTCCTAACCTTTTATTTTCCCCAGACTGTTCAGAAATTTAATTGTTTACTTCTCTTTTTAACTCATGGCCTAGAGTTGTGACATTGCAAAGAATAAGAGAATGAGATTGGCTTTCTTTTATGGTTAGGCAAAACTACCCTGAAATTTAAAGAAGATTCTGGTTGCTAATAGGAACAGATGTTGGAGCTTGCTGCTTTCTCAAATAGAAAGTTTTTACATGTGAAGATTATCACATTGTTCCCAATTCCTCATTGATGCAGCTTCTAAATGTTCCTACCTTATAACATCTGTAGCTGAGGTTAGCTTGATCTTGAGTCTACTTTATATTTAACATGGAATTTTTTGTGAGGCAAAGCCACATTTCTGATTGCT